CACTCTGGACTTAATTATCTCAAAGGGTCTGAATATCTCAAAGGTTGTGGTGACTGATGTTGCACTCTCTGATCATTCCTGTGTTTTCTTTGAGAGCTCTATTTCTGTTCACAAAAAATTTCAGAAAGAGGTAACCACAAAGCGATATTTAACTGAAAATACTAGGGAAATGTTTACTCATCATTTTTCATCCACACTCTCCCCTGCTAACATCTCAGTAAATGAGCTAGTAGATCATTTTAATTCAAAAATTAAAAATGTTATAGATACCATTGCTCCAACTAAGGTAAAGGAAGTGACTGGCAAGAAAATATCTCCATGGAGAAAGGCCATGACCGTGAGAACAGAAAAAAGAGAGTGTCGAAAAGCTGAACGTAGGTGGCGAAAAACAAATCTCCAGGTTCACTTTGAAATCTATAAAGAGAGACTTGGCCTTTATAATTTGGAATTGAAAAACGCACGACAGTCTTTCTTCTCTGACATCATTACCAAAAACAACGCACGTGCCTTGTTTGCTACCGTCGACAGACTAACTAACCCCCCAGTGTCAGTAGCCTCTGAATTTCTATCCACCAGGGCGTGCAATGATTTTGCCTCCTTCTTCACTGACAAAATTCAGAAAATTAGACAAGCAGTCAGTGCCTCTGCATCAGGTACAGCAAATGTTTTGTCCCTATGTCCACCTAATATCAATTCAAACACCATGACACAATTCCATCAGATTAATGGTAAAAACTTAGAGGACATTATTCAACTTCTGAAATCCTCCTCCTGCTGCCTTGATATTATTCCAACAGGATTTTCAAAGATGTTTTTCCTTGCATGGCCTCAGATCTACTTCATATAGTAAACACATCTCTTCACTCAGGTATTTTTCCAGAGGCCCTGAAAACTGCAGTCATTAAACCGCTCTTAAAAAAGAATAATCTAGATGCCTCAGTAATGAACAATTACAGGCCAATATCAAACCTGCCATTTCTAGGTAAAATCATTGAAAAAGTTGTATTTCAACAGTTGAGTAACTTCTTGCATTTAAATAATTGTTTCGATGTGTTCCAGTCAGGATTTCGTCCAAACCACAGCACTGAGACTGCTCTTGTAAAGGTCTTCAATGACATCCACTTAAACACAGACAGTGGCAGAACTTCAGTGTTAGTATTATTAGATCTCAGTGCTGCGTTTGACACTGTTGACCACAACATATTACTAGACCGACTAGAAAACTGGGTGGGACTTTCAGCAACAGTTCTAAATTGGTTTGAGTCCTACTTAAAGGACAGAAAAAACTTTGTTTCTATAGGTAAATACACATCTGAGTTGACAAATATGACATGTGGGGTACCTCAAGGCTCCATCTTGGGGCCTCTTCTCTTTAACATCTACATGCTACCACTGGCTCAGATAATGAAAAACAACAAAATAAGTTACCATAGCTATGCGGATGACACACAAATTTACGTAACAATTTCACCAGGAGACTATGCTCCAATTCAAACACTGAGTAAGTGCATTGAACAAATCAATGACTGGATGTGTCAGAACTTTCTCCAATTAAACAAAGATAAAACTGAGGTAATGGTTTTTTGGAGCCAAGGCAGAACGTATAAAAGTTAGCGCTGAGCTTCAGTCTGCAATGTTCAAAACAACAGATAAAGCCAGAAATCTAGGTGTAGTCATGGACTCTGACCTGAGTTTCAACAGTCACATTAAAACAGTTACTAAATCAGCCTACTATCACCTAAAGAACATATCTAGGATTAAAGGACTAATGTCACAGCAGGATTTGGAAAAACTTGTCCATGCTTTTCTCTTCAGTAGACTCGACTACTGCAATGGTGTCTTTACAGGCCTCACTAAAAAATCTATTAGAAAGCTGCAGCTAATTCAGAACGCCGCTGCTCGAGTCCTCACTAACACTAAGAAAGTGGATCACATCACTCCTGTTCTGAAGTCCTTACACTGGCTTCCTGTGTGTCAAAGAATAGATTTCAAAATATTGTTGCTGGTTTATAAAGCTTTGAATGGTTTAGGCCCAAAATACATGTCTGACCTCCTGCTAAATTATGAACCATCCAGAACTCTCAGGTCTTCAGGGACTGGTCTGTTTTCTGTCCCCAGAGTCAGAACTAAACATGGAGAAGCAGCATTCAGTTATTATGCTCCAAATATCTGGAACAAACTCCCAGAAACCTGCAGGTCCGCTGCAACTCTTACTACTTTTAAATCCAGGCTGAAGACTTTTCTTTTTGCCGCTGCTTTTAATTGAACTATTCACATCTTAAACTGCACTGTAACTTTTAACTTTTATCCATGTATTTTTTCTTTTAATGTTTATTTTATTATCTTTTCTTTTTAATGACTGATTTTAAATGCCATTTTTAAAATGTCTTCCATTTTTGTAAAGCACTTTGAATTGCCTTGTGTTGAAAGGTGCTATATAAATAAACTTGCCTTGCCTTGCCTTACTGAAAGGATGGGTGGAAGGGTTAGGGGAAGTGTTTTCACTTCCACTCTTTGTATATGGGCCTACATATGTGGCAAAAAAGGAGTAACTCTCACTCTGATTAATGCTATCTTTGCAACTGCTAAGCTAGCAATTTGGAGGAGCAGGAAGAACCAGATGCTAGGGCAGATGTTGTTCAGAGTGTGAAGGGGTTGGTCGCTGCTCGGCTAAAAGTAGAACATGCCTTTTACAGTGTGACCAACAACTTGCCTGCTTTCAGGACTCTTTGGGGGGTCAATCACGTTCTATGTACGGCAAGGGAAGATGGTACGCTGGAGCTGAATAAAAATAAATAAATGGTTTTCTATGTGTGAGCTATGATATGAAGATTTAAAAAAAAAAAAAGTGTCATGAATGTGATGATTTTGTAAGTTTTTATTTAAAATGACTTAAATAAAGGTTTTATTAAAAGTCAAAAGTCTCTCTCTCTCTCTCTCTCGGAAATAATACCATAAATAAAATGTTACCTCTCATTTATCATATATGAACATCTTAAATCTTAGATCTTTAAGTGAAACCTATCATGCTATATTTAAATGATATATTGTAGGGCCATACCTATATAAGGTATATTTATACGTTTCTGTTTTCAAAATACCAAACAGATCATGCATTTTAGCCATGCCTCATTTCGCTCTATGTGCTGTTTGCTGTCTACGGGTCTGATTCTGCTGACCACGCCCCCCTGCAGGAGAGGGGAGCCGTGCTCTGATCGGCTGCTGGGCTGTCAGAAGAGGGGGAGAAAAAGAGATCTCTGTCCTCCGTGTTTTATTATATAGAGTCGTTATTCATTTGTTTTAAAGCTCAATAAATAACAAGAAGACCTTTGACCGGCACTTTTCTAATTTTGTCCGGAAGATTTAAACTTTAACGGACATCTTGACCGGCGAAAGAAACTGAAACTGAAACTCTGCCGCACGGTCCCCTCGTTCCTTGGAAGAGGCGGAGAGGTGGTGTTTGTCATCTGCTGGTGGACTAACCGGAGAGAATTACAGTGCTTGCCTCGACGGGGAGGGATTGCATTGAATTAAAGCAGCGGGAGCAAACGCTTGCCTCGGGGAGGGAGAAAGAAAGCCACAGCGGAGAATAAACAGAAGCGTAACCATGGTAACTATGGGCGGGAAGTCTTCTTCGCTGCTTTTGTGGCAGACTACAGCGCCACTTACAGGCCTGGCATATGTACTACAGCGTCTCCAGTACAATAGCCGTAGCGCCACCGTCCTGACGTCAGGACAGTTTTCAAATCTGGATCAGTTTTTATCAGATCCGCTGCAGCCCTTTTTTTAGAGATTTGGGTATGGAGGAAAATAGAGAGGGTTGTGTTTTCTGAGACTTGGTGAGTTCCCTGGAACACCGGGGACACATATTCATGTATAAAAGACGTACAAAAGTGCATTTTGCATGATAGGTCCCCTTTAAATCTTAAAATGATTTAACAAACGCCTGTTTGAGACTCCTCAGTGCACACAAAAACATAACTTGGAGAAATAAATAAATACTGATATGTTATTTAAGAGCACTTCGTGTGTACCATGTTGTCTTAATGTTATGACTTGTATTCTCATAAATGATGCGGTAAGCAGAAGGACAGAATTACGTCTCAACTGAGGCCGTTTTGCTTTTCTATAGGTAGTATAAATAAGAGCATGGTTTTATATACTATCATGTTTAATCATGTTTTATGCCGTTTGCCAAGACTTGATAAGTCGCTCGTAAAACACAGGTATGCAAAGTAAGAGAACACCATGTTGGTGAATTGTACAGAAACATTAGTTTGATTTCATTTAAGTGGTGGATAGAGTTGCTGCGGGGGATTGAGACGCACAGGCTGCAGTGGAGACGCAGCGCACAGCTGATTGACAGCTGGAACACAAACCACCAGATAGGTCTCCTGTCCCCGGTACAAACACACTGACACACTGACCGAGGAAGGTTATGTGTATTTTGTCATTAACTTTTTTCGGACCACTTATTTATTTATTTTGGTGACGATCCGACCTCCATGCTGCTACTCTGGTTCAAACTGCATCCACCAAACAATGTGATTTATCTCCACCTCCCCAAAAGAACCAAAATCTGACTCGGTGTGAAATGTCTTTTTTAGCTGTTCTGTCCTCATTCCCTGCGATCTTCTTCTGCAGTCAGTCAGAATGAATATTAATACGGGGCGTTTCTTTGACTATTTATAGGCAAATATGGGCGTTACGTGAAGCCCGCAAAAGCTGCGCCGCATTTCGAGTTGATTGTGATTTATAAAGGGAAACCGGCGTAGGACGTGCCGCACGCAAGGCTTTATAAATGAGGCCCCTGGACCCACCTGAAGGCTTTACTCTCTGTTAGTGATCCTTTCTATAATAGCGCTATATAAGTGTCATGTATTATTATTATTATTATTATTATAGAGTTTAAAGGCGATGCATGCCAGTCATGTTTTAATGAATAAATACCACCTCCATCATCTTTGTCTTTAGAGAGAAGCTGACTGATCCACACTTACACTTCCTCACACCTGGTTGTAACCTCTGCTCTCCACCATGGTCCAGCCTGGAGGAAGAAACACAGTCAGGATGATGTTCTATCCAACATGAGTCCTAGCTGCTGGTACCTCGTGGAACAGAGGTTACTTTCTTAGAGCAAGCTTTTTTATTCTAATTTACTTTTTGTTGGCGTTTAGTGTCAAAATTGTCACAGCATATTGTACATTGCATCTTTACATGAAGGACATACATCTGTTCATAGCTCTTTTCAGCAATATACACATGATGACACAAAAAACACAGAGGAGAAAGACATAAAGAAAGAAATGAAAATAAAATAGAACAACAGTGAACAATTAGGGAGTAGACATTTCTTTACAGCAGAGTTCTGGATCTGTGGAAACTAAGTCAGGCCTTTAGGGCTTTACAAAGTGAGTCCACTTCTCACAGGTTGGAGTAAATTGACCAATGTATGATTGACAGATGCTGTTATCTTTCCCATATTATAAATATCCATTGAGATGTCCATCCATCCATTTAGAGTCGGGCTATGCTTCGATAACCACTTCCTGGTTAATGCCTTTTCAGCAGAATGTTCAAGAAGTATTTGTCCTTTCTCAAATTCCTAAAGTATAACATCTTGATCTCTAGAGGTATTATGTCTTTGAAAATGTCTTGTAAGGCGTTGTGTATCTCCTTCCAGTAGTCTTGATACCTGGACAGTCCCAGAATACATGGAAGTGGTTTGCATTCTGGTTACCACAGTTCCTCCAACATATAGGGGGGGGTCCTATCATAGTGGGACTTCTGAGAGGGCGGAATAAAATATCCTATCAGGTTCTTCCAGGTATATTCCCTCCAGTTCTGCCAGCTGGTACATTTCCATTGATATCTCCACATTGTTACCCATTCTTCCCCAGATATATGTATCCCTCCTTCCTGCTCCATCTTCTTTATTATGTAAGTGAGTGTTTTTTAAGGTTTGTCAATCCTTGGTAAACGCAAGATACGGTTCTACCGTTAACATCTGCGTTATACGCTTTCCTAAACATTTCTATCAAACCTACACTTGCCTCTGACACTTTTTCCACTTTCAAATGAACATAATGCCGTACCTGAAGATATCCATAAAAGTCCTGTTTCTCCAAAGTGTATTTCTCTTTGAGGGTATCCAAACTGAGCAATGCTCCCCCTTTCATCAGCTTGCACAGAGCTGTTAGACCTTTTAGAGCCCAGTCCCTAAATCTAGTATCCAATCTGTTAGGCATGAAATCTGAGTCATATGCACACCATTTGAGAAAGATACTTTCATTCTCCAATTTATATTCTTTTATAATAGTTTTCCACATTTTAAGAGAACATTTCACCCATGGATTTTCAATAATGTTTATGAAATTGTGTAGGTTATTGTCGGCTATAATTGCCTGTATGGGAGTACACCTTCTGTTCTATATGTTTCCATTGAGCATCATATGCTGGGTTACTCCAGCATATCATTGTTCTTATCTGTGTTGTGAAATAGTAATCTCTGAGAGAGGGTAAACCCCACCCCCCTTCTTCTTTGGCCAGGTGTAAAGGTTTGAGACGAACCCTTGCTCTTTTACCTTGCCATATATATCTTGATATCATTTTATCTCATTCATTATATTGACTTTGGTTGATCTCTTTAGGTAGGGTTTGGAATAGATATAATAATCTAGGTAGTATATCTTTTTTAACCCATTCAATTCTTGAAGAAATATTAAAGAAAGGAATTAGGTTCCATCTTGCTATATCTTCCTTCATTATGTTCTCTACAGGTAGGAAATTGCATTCGAATAATGTTGAAAGATCTTTAGGGATGTTAATGCCCAAATACTTGATGGATTTTGTGTGCCATATCAATGGGTATGTATTCCTAATTTCTTCAGGTGGATGGGACTTGTCTCCTGAAGGAAGTTTCTCCCTGATATTCCTCCCTCGCTCCTCTCCTCCCAGCGTCTCCCAGGCAGACAGCTGCTCAGCCTCTCTCTCGGTGTGATCACGGTGACAGCAGTCCTCTGTCCTTCACGTCTCAGGATGCTTCCACAGCAGTCTGGTACAGCCTCGCCCCGTCCTCCTACAATACTCGTAGTTTAGCAGGGAACGGGGTCTGGAAGCGAATGTTTCTCTGCCTGAGCACTCGCTTTGCCTCGGAGTAGTCTTTACGTTTTTGCAAAATAGCTGGTGGGTAATCTTGGTCGAAATATCCCGTTCAAAAACACCTTTATTTTCCCATGGCTTGCGTATAATATCGTCTTTAGTTGAGTATCGGAGAAACTTGATCATTCTTGATGCGGCTTGTCCTCCCTGTCTCCGGAGGCCCTCGGTACGAGCGCCCGGTGCGCTCTTTCAATGCCGAGCTCCGTGGCGGGGGGGATCTCAAGTGCCTCTTGTAGTAAACTCTTCACCAAGTCAACCATAGATGACCCCTCCAATTCCTCTGGGACATTATAAATCCTTATATTCTCCCGTCAGGATCTTCCTTCTTCGTCAGTCAGTTTATTTTCTTGCTGATTCATTACCTTTATCTTCTTGCTCAGCACCTTTCACGTTTTCAATTCTCATTTCTGCCTCCTCTATTTTAACGTTGACGTTGGTAAGCTCGGATTTCATTTTGTTTATTTGTTGTTTTGTGTCTTTGCGAAAGTCCTGTATCTCCTCCAGAACTTTAGCTAAGCTAGCCACGTGCGGCTCTGCGCTAGCTTCCTCATCATCGACCTGTGCAGGCGAGTTGTTCGTTGTATTTTCTTCGTTGGTAGACTCTGAGCCAATGTTTTTCTTTTGTCCGTCCTTTCTTCCCATCTTTGCCCTGTTAACTATTTCTAATTTTACAGAGACATTTCTTATTTGGCAAATAAACGAGGCGAAATTAATCTCTTACCGGGGGAGAAGCTAAACTAGGCTGCCATTCGGTATGGTGACGTCACCGGAACCATGACCATCATTTTCAAGTCAATAAAATCATCTGAATTCATATCGAGAGTCTTAGTAGTTAGTTTGTTTATCATGTAGCCGTGTAATAAGCGGGATAATGTGCAGTGAGGCATCCCGTACACATTCAACTGCTAACAGCTAACTGCTAAAGGCTAACTGCTAATAGCTACCTGCTAACAGCTACCTGCTTACAGTCAATGGCTAACAGCTACCTGCTAACAGCTACCTGCTAACAGCTACCTGCTTACAGTCAATGGCTAACAGCTACCTGCTAACAGTTACCTGCTAACAGCTACCTGCTTACAGTCAACGGCTAACAGCTAACGGCTTAGTTTACCAGCTCTCCTCCTGCTGATATCAACATGAATGTGATGTTCATGATGGCATTATGAGGAGAAAAAAGGATGCGCACCTGGACGTGTCGATCATAAGTTTACGTAATAAAGAATCACAAAAAGTAAATCTCGGTTTCCCATCAGCGACTAGGTAATATGCTGATCATCGGCCAAAGCAGTCCAGGAAATAATCAAGATACAATTATAACACATAATGTGAGTTTAGCTCTGTTAGCCATTAGCCGAAAACAAAGTCAGAACTATCCAAACTGAACCACTGTTGATCACTTGCGTCCGTTATAGAGTAGAGTGGACTCAGCCGTCAATGAGGGTGTAAAAACTCAATGAAATATAATTTCAACAACTGTGTCATAAATGAGAGGAAGAACATGACATTTGAGATATTAGAGACACGTTCAGTCTGTCTGTCCATACCTGAGTGTCTCCAGTCTCCAGAGTGAATCCTCACGTCCAGCAGACAGCAGCTTCTCTCCTGAGTCTCCTGGATGATTGTAGCTCAGGTCCAGCTCTCTCAGATGGGAGGGGTTGGAGCTCAGAGCTGAAGCCAGAGAAACACAGCCTTCCTCTGTGACCATACAGCCTGAGAGACTGGAGCCAGGGAATAGAGTAAACTCAGTGTTTTGATTATGTCAGCATGAAGATACAGATGTTGACCAACTTTATTAACATGAACATGAAGCTGGAAGAGCAGGTTTTAAATTAAAACTATCAACAACAAAAAAAACTGTGCTCTGACCTGAGAGTCTCCAGTTCACAGTGAGGACTCTCCAGTCCAGCAGACAGCAGCTTCACTCCTGAATCCTGCAGGTCGTTGTTACTCAGGTCCAGCTCTCTCAGATGGGAGGGGTTGGAGCTCAGAGCGGAAGCCAGAGAAACACAGCCTTCCTCTGTAACCATACAGCCTGAGAGACTGGAACCAGGGAATACAGTAAACTCAGTGTTTTGATTATGTCAGCATGAAGATACAGATGTTGACCAACTTTATTAACATGAACCTGAAGCTGGATGAGCAGGTTTTAAATTAAAACTATCAACAACAAAAAAACCTGTGCTCTGACCTGAGAGTCTCCAGTTCACAGTGAGGACTCTCCAGTCCAGCAGACAGCAGCTTCACTCCTGAATCCTGCAGGTCGTTGTTACTCAGGTCCAGCTCTCTCAGACTAGAGGACTGGGAGCTGAGGACTGAGGACAGAGCTTCACAGCTTCTCTTTGACAGCTTACAGCCACTCAGCCTGGGGAATGATTAGCAATGAACACAATTTATTTTATTTATCATTTTTAAAACTGATCAATGTTGCTTGTATCTCCACTTACAGAGCTTTCCTGGAGGCTTTGACCACTGGCAGCAGCCTCAGAAGAGCCTTCTCTGAAGCAGAGTATTTCTTCAGGTCAAAGACATCCAGATCTTTTCCTGATGACAGTAAGATGAAGACCAGAGCTGACCACTGAGCAGGAGACAGTTTATCTGTGGAGAGACTTCCTGAACTCAGGTACTGTTGGATCTGCTCCTCTAGAGAACCATCATTCTGTTCATTCAGACAGTGGAACAGGTTGATGCTTCTCTCCGGAGACGGGTTCTTTCTTATCTTCTTCTTGATGTACTCAACTGTTTTCTGATTGATCTCTGAGCTACTTCCTGTTTCTGTCAGCAGGCCATGTAGGAGTTTCTGATTGGTCTGCAGTGAAAGACCCAGGAGGAAACGAAGGAACAAGTCCAGGTGTCCGTTTGTACTCTGTAAGGCCTTGTCCACAGCACTCTGGTAGAGATGTGTTAGTGTGGGTTGAGGTCTAAAGACTTTAAGCAGCCAGGAGGTTGTTGGTTCTTCTGCCAGCAGGTTGACTCCAGAGTTGATGAAGGTTAGATGGACATGAAGAGCAGCCAGAAACTCCTGAACGCTCAAATGGACGAAGCAGAACACCGTGTCCTTGTACAGTCCACACTCCTCTCTAAAGACCTGTGTGAACACTCCTGAGTACACTGAGGCTTCTGTGATATCGATGCCACAGTCTGTAAGGTCGGACTCATAGAAGATCAGGTTGCCTTTCTGCAGCTGCTCAAAGGCCAGTTTTCCCAGAGCCTCCATCATCTTCCTGCTCTCTGGACTCCAGGAATCTGTCTCCCTTTTTCCATGATACTTGACGTTCCTCACTTTGGACTGAATCACCATGAAGCGGATGTACATCTCAGTCAGGGTCTTGGGCAGCTCTCCTCCCTCTCTGGTTTTCAACACTTTCTCCAGAACTGAAGCAGAGATCCAGCAGAAGATTGGGATGTGGCACATGATGTGGAGGCTTCGTGATCTCTTGATGTGGGAGATGATGGTGCTGGCCAGCTTCTTATCTCTGAATCTCTTCCTGAAGTACTCCTCCTTCTGTGGGTCAGTGAACCCTCGGATCTCTGTCACCATGTCCACACACTCAGGAGGGATCTGATTGGCTGCTGCAGGTCGTGTGGTTATCCAGAGGCGAGCAGAGGGAAGCAGCTTCCCCCTGATGAGGTTTGTCAGCAGCACATCCACTGAGGTGGACTCTGTGACATCAGTCAGGATCTCATTGTTGTGGAAGTCCAGAGGAAGTCGACACTCATCCAGACCGTCAAAGATGAACACAACCGAGAACTGATCAAACCTGCAGATTCCTGCGTCTCTGGTTTCAGCGAAGAAGTGATGAACAAGTTCCACCAAGCTGTAATTTTTCTTCAGCCTATTCAGATCTCTGAAAGGTAATGGAAATGTGAACTGGATGTCCTGGTTGGCTTTGCCTTCAGCCCAGTCCAGAGTGAACTTCTGTGTTAAGACTGTTTTGCCGATGCCAGCCACTCCCTTTGTCATCACTCTGATTGGTGCATCTCTTCCAGGTGAGGCTTTAAAGAGGTCTTCTTGTCTGATGATTGTGTCTGGTCTGTATGGTTTCCAGGATGCTGTTTCAATCTGTCTGACCTCATGCTCATCAGCTGTAGTTTCTCCCTTGGTGATGTGGATCTCTGTGTAGATTTCATTTAGAGGTCTTGAATTACCCGTTTTTATGATTTTCTCAATTATTTTCTCCAGGTTTAATTTGAGCGTCCTTTGGTACTGAGTAAGAATCTCTGAATGAACAAAAATAAAATCACAATTGAGACAATACTCAAATTAACAAAAAAGATCCATCACAATATTTGTTCCTAACTTTACACATTTCTGAAAGGATAGTAGGATATTTGTTGTCGGATCGAAGCTGTATCTCAATCATCTGTAGCTATCCAAAAATATTGTTCCTTCTTTCTATTATTTCCCACTCCGGTGAACAATCTGTTGTCCCCAGTAAACCATGACCTTAAACCTGACGACTCTTATTCCTGCTGCTGGAAGACGAGGCACGACCCTGGCAGATCGACCTCTGAGGATGTGGACTCAGCTGTCACTCCAGTCATACAGGAAGTGGATTGATCTTAGTAATTGTCCCAATACTCCGTAATCCTGCAATAGCCTACTATCAACAAGACGCCCTGGGGGTCACAGTAATAATCTTTCCCTTTGTCCATAAGACAGGGTGGATGGAAAACTCTATTGACCCCTCCTTGCATATGTGGAGCCCCAGCCTAACTCAGTGTAAGAAAACGTTTTTAGAGAGTACTTGTCCATGGACAAGTGAGTTTGGCAATTTACTCCGAATACATTTTTCACTTGTCCAATCTGGACATGCCTGTTTTTTTTTTATTCTAAAATTATTTTACATACCCCTTTTCAGGCCCATCAGTACATCAATTGTAGGGTCCCCTTTCAAGCCCTTAATCCACTATTTTCTGACAGAATTTATTTAAATTATTTTTCCTTGCTAACTGAACACACCATTTAACCATTGACATTTTTAAATTGTTTTTAAAGAAAAAGCCCTGACAAAACAGCAGGGCTCTCAGTATTAACTAAAGAACAAAAGACAGCAACAGCAGACATGAAATCTTTGCTGAGCCTAAAGATAATCATAAATAAATAACATTGAAAATAAATATATTGCAATGTGCAGAACAGCAGCATTCAACCGTCTCTAATACTTGGATATTACATGTCACTGCATGCATGCACGGATCACCCGTAGCGCGGAGATCATCATATCATTCTGTCTTGTATTACTTGACAAAAACAAATAAAAAATAAAAAACGGCTCGTTCGCAGGCGCGAGCCGGCTCCATTCGTTCACTTAAAAGAGCCGGCTCTTGTTTGAACAACAATAGCGGACATGGACAATTTGCGAATGAGTTCTGCCTTTTGTAAGCTGAATTTATAAATAATTTGTCAATAATTATGGGCAAAAAACGTCACTTGTCTTTCGGACACGTCAATGGAAAGATGTACTTGTCCGATATTGTAAATAACATGCCGGACGATCAGACGTGTGCTTTTTCACACACTGCTAACTCCTGAACGTATCCCCCAGCTGGTGGCCCTGACCCAGAGACTGCAAGAGAGCAAGTTACTCTGAACTGTTGGTCGATGCGTCGGCAGAGAGAACAGGGACAGCTTTCATCTCCATGAACCTCAAAGGTGACCTGGGTAACTCTGGAAAAGGAGAGAGTCTAATCCCTATCCAGGAGTTTCTTTCCAGAGCCGGTTCAATGTGTAGAGGTGAGCCCAACTTTGTCTAGTTGGTCCTGCTCCACCTCCCACACCAACACCGGATCCGTCCCAGCAGAGAGGTTGACGGTTGTTTGAAGTTTGTATACCATGTTCCTCTCCTTCACCTACCAACCCAACTGGCATTGATTGGACCCTTACACTCAGTGGTGTGTAGACCCTGATGCCTGGCTTGCAGGATGAGGACCTGAGGCCTGTACCAAGAAGCCGGATTTTGGCTTAGCGAGCTAACTTCAGGGAAACTCTGGGTTTTCCGGTCCTACGACGCTGGTTCTCTTCTTAGCGGGCTAGATCTCCATGGTAACTTATGCTGAACGGCTAGCCTGGTCCGGAGCAGGTTACGCTCCAGGATAAGAGATCAACTCAGTGAAAGCACCGCCTACTGACCAATCAGAGCTCCGTGTGCGGAGTTTAAAGCTATCAAGTCATATTACAGGATAGGGGAAATACAGAAAAACTGCCGTTGCAGGAAAGACGGCCGGCAAAAATCACAGACTGTGTGAAACGTGAAAATTAATAGAATATCCCCTCCCATCTTCAGAGCAATCTGACTATTATAACATTAGCGTTTAAGAAAGCTTACTTAAATATCTGCCACAACATAAGTAAACCGGATCAGAGTAACATTACGTACAGTCCGCGGCACTGTGAGTGGGCAGACGTCGATGTGTCCCCATTATCATTCATATCCTTCAGCTTCATAAAGGGACGCAAATACAGATGGAGCCTCTTATTTTGGACCCCAGCATACAGCTTCCTGCCTACTGCCAGCCAGGTTACCTGCCTAAGACCTGCCAAAGACCAGTATTCAGGAATGTTAGGCCCCTCCCACGTATTCTCCAATTTCAGGGTTTAAACCAGGAGATGGCGCTATATATTAAATAACTATGGCCAAACTAAGACTTAGTTTTTCACAAGAGACAATGCAGATATTATATAAAAAAAAACTAAAGTTAAAATCTTGCTTTTTAATGCCCCAAGAGCCAATAACATCTTGTCACAAGCTTTTTGGAAGAAAAAGACTTCAAGAGACCTGTAGTTGACTAATTACAGGCCTCAATAAAGTTCTGCCATTGGTTGTGAAAAACAACGGTGGACATAGTGGAAAGTGAAATTGAGATTGTCAAATGTTAATAAAAATACAAAATAATGTATCTGTGTACGTGTTTTCTATATGTGATCTGCATGCACTTATCAAACATCTAATTAAAGAATGGGGAGGAGCAAAAAACACCACACTTCAAGTCAGATCATCACCCTTAGCTATTTCAATTACCTCTCAAACAACCTAAACTAG